CAAAGACAGACAGGTTACTGATTGATATTTAAAGATACGGGGAAATTGTTGTAAGAAGAGAATGTTTGCTAAAATCAAGCTTTTGTTGCAAATTGCGTTATGGAAGGTCACCTTGCTTGTCTCACTGAATGTTACCATCTTCTATTGTTAAACTTGTTAAACTGTACTTAGCAAAAACCCTACCTATGTTCTTTTCCTGTAACTTCCTGGTCTAGAGAATAAATGTGGGAAGAGAACCCCAATTCGTGGTTAATTTCCCAAATGGAAGGAGTGCCTCTATCTCGAGGGTTCTGGGAGATTAATCCCTTTTTGGGGCTTCTCACTGTTCAGAAGAGATGGGCTTTGAGTAATCTTTGGTGGCTCCATCACCCAGGGGAAAAGGGGTGACAAATCCATGGGAGGCAAAGCAACAACAGGGAATAATTACAATCTTTTGGTAATGGGCATGCTGATAGTATTGATCTGACCATCACATCTTGGGCACAGGTGATGACAGTCAGCTTTGTACTTCATGAATATGCATAATCAGTAAAAAAAAAAAAAAAAAGTGGGATCTGAGGTTTCCATAGTGGGTAACAGAGTGTCTTGTATGTACTCAATAAGGGTTGTTGAGTAGAATGTTGAGAGCAATTTTCTAGTGCTTTCCTGCAAAGATGAAATTATGACAGAATTTCAGATTCTGAGCCATAGGAGAGAATGGGGGTCTGATGAATCTCTTGGTGCTCAATACACTAGCACAGTAGTTTATTTCACCAATAAACTATCTGTACAGTGGATGTGATAAACTGAGTCAGCTTATGAAGTGTACTCTGTAGAAAAGCAGGGCTAATGGCTCCATCTGAGAAGAAGCCCCTGTGGATGAGTGTGAATGGCTTTGTAGGCTGAACCTATGACTTGCCCTAATTCTGGGAAAGATATATTAGAGATACAAAGAAAGCGTTTTTGTCAGCTACATAAACAATAAAAACATTCTGCTTTCTTAGTAGCACACTGTCCAAAATAATACCAATTGCCCAAAATGAAAAAAAAAGGAAAGAAAATTATAATAAGAAACTCAGAATATAGTTTTAAAACCAAAAGGAATAGTATGATATTCAAGGAACACGAAGTCTAAGTCAAATTTGAAAGCTTCTGCTGTGTCATGTCTTGAGATATTTATTCCAACTTTTTGCTTCATGTTATCATTACTTGTGATTGAGTTCAACCTAGTCAATGGCTAGATAGGTTCTTTAGTAAAGAAGACCTGGGACTCAATGAGCCATTATGAAACGATGATGACTAGGTAGGCAGGGTCTTGATATTCAGACAACTCTGCTAGAATGGCCTATAATTCCTTGTGATACAACAAAGAGAGCACTCAGCTAAGAGTCAGAATACCAGCCCTTCCATTTACCAGCCACTGTCTGTGCACAAGCCTGGGACTCCTCATCTCTAAAATGAGAATAATAGTAGTTTATTTGGTGTACTCTAAAAGGCTGTTGTGAAGATCAGAGGAGATACTCCAAGTATAAATTCTTTGTGACCTATAAACTCTGCTGATTTGCAACATTATTACTATTGAACCACCATGTAGGTGTAATGGTTAAAGCACCTCTGCCAAGATCACCACAGGTGATGTTAATGAGAGTAAGGTGGGCTGGGACAATGTAATGTGCTAGTGGTCTCTTTCCCTGGCTCCATGGGCAAGCTAAAAATTTACAAGAGGTCACTGCCTTGGGTTGTTGACCTGTGCTATATCCCAGGATATTATAGCACTAACTTACTTGCAGGAAGCTAACCAACCTGTAGTTAGAGATTATCTTTTTGAAGCAAAAACCCTTAGTCCCTTATCATGGTTCGAAATAGCTCGAGAAATATAATCAAGAGACAATATAACCTTTCCTGGATCTCAAGAGGCAAAGGATTCACAGCAGCAGTTTTGTTTATGCTGCACATGTATTTGTCTCCTTAAATGTACACATATATATTTTTACAACATGGGCAAACACATGTTCAAATTAATTGTTAGTTGAAAGCAGATATATTTCTATTATTTGCTTTGATGATCCATACTCAGTAACAATCTTCATTATTTTTCTGTTCATTTTTTGGTTATCTACCCCCTTGGAAGCTAGTTTACTAATATATGAAGAGAAAATTTTTCCCGTTCTGGAGTATATTTCTTTCTTTTTTTTTTTTTTCTAGAAAGATGACCAGTAAGGGGATCTTAACCCTTGACTTGGTGTTGTCAGCCCCACTCTCTCCCAAGTGAGCTAACCAGCCATCCCTATGCAGGGATCTGAACCCGTGGCCTTGGTGTTATCAGCACCACACTCTCCCAAGTGAGCCACGGGCCGGCCCCTCTAAAGTATATTTCTATGTGGCACATTTAGATAAAGAAGTGTGGGAAGATTCGAGAATAAATTGCCCGTTCTCATTGGCAAATGTTAACTACTGACCCCTCTTTCTTTTCCAAGCAGCTAAAAATGGTCTTAATTTATGTAAAATTCTGTATCAGTTTTGTCCTTAAAAGGTGTGGATTGGGCTGCTGATGTGTTGATTGTGTGGCCATGGGGAGAGGGAAGCATGTATAGCCTTGGATACATCCACACACTTGACGTGCATGTATCTATAGCAGGTCTATACTCCTGAAACATTTTAGGAGAGCTGTTTACATGACCATATTCCAGTTGTGCAGCTGTCGATGTAACAATATCTTTGGTTTAATGTGGCTTATTGGAAATGGAAATGCAATAAATGGAAACAAGTGCATATTAACATAGAAATCCCTATTGAATTTCTTTATAATAGTGTTCAGTTAACAAGACTTTATCAAAAAGTTAGAAGAATATGTCATGATTAGGCAATTATTAAAAAGGTGAATGGCAAAGAGAGTTTTTTAAATTTCAAAAAGAGTTGATATTTGGAAGCCTAATTCATATTCCCATCCCAGATTGATTTTGCAATTCAGATCTGAGGCTATGAAGTCAAGATCTAACAATTAGATACCTAGTCACAAATCAGCATGTCATGGACAGTCATTATGTGTGTTTGTGGAAAAAAATGGCATAAGTTACCACTATTAAACTGTTGCAAATTATTGGTTATATTGAATTGCTTTTGTACATATACAAGTATCAATTATAAAAAATGACATTAAAAATTAAAAAAAAATTTTTTTTTAAAGACTAACTATGCCCTTGATGGAAGGCAGCTTTCAGAACTGCTTTACTTACTCTAAATGTTTTCTGTCCTTTGCTGTTTGTTATTCTTAATTCGAAATCAAACTGTGTCACTGAGAATCAAGATTGTATCAAGAGTGTTTATGAAGACTACAATGTAAAAAAAATAAGAATGACAAAAATCTTGAAGCCCACATTTGTTAATTTAAGGTAGTTTATAAATTCAAATCCAAGTTAATTTAATTTTTATTTTGCTGTATTTATTTTTAATTATAGAGCAGGTGACATCTTAATTTTCTCACCTATCAGGTGGGGGTGGGAAGGTGGGGGGAATTACAAGTTATCTATTAGCATTGTTCTTGTGAAAACAGTATCAGACATGGTGAAATATCTAAAAGCACTTTGTAACTATAAAGAACTATGCAAATGATGTTGTTATTATAATAAATATGGCATTGACATCTTTTTATTTAAAGCAAACGTCAGAATGTCTGTTTCCTGATATAAAACAAAAAATTTTCTGCTCTTCATTTTTCATCTTTTTGTAGAGATGTTCCTTTCTCATCGACATGGAAATTAAGATTCTTTAGGTAATGCTAATAAAATAAGCACATCCGTATGATTTTTGAAGATTTATAAGATGTACATTTTTATTGTTTCTCATCGACATGGAAATTAAGATTCTTTAGGTAATGCTAATAAAATAAGCACATCCGTATGATTTTTGAAGATTTATAAGATGTACATTTTTATTGTTACTAAATGTTGTTACTTACTCAGCACTAAAAATGTGATGAGAAGTAGCCTGCTAGATCTGATAATTCTACTCAGCTGTTTTAATAACTAAGTAGCATGTATTTTTTTAGAGACCATATTTAGTATTATAGGTATTCTTGGTGATATTATATCATTCTTCAAAGAAAATGTGTATATTCAGCTTTATACGTTTGGGCAAAAATAGGAATCACAGTTTCAAAATACTAATGGGAAAACGAGTCACAATAAGTATGTTGGATTCTCAAGATAAAGAGATGTTCAATTCTCAGAATTATAGCATCTGTCTATAAAAATAGTGTAATTGGGATATACTATTTTAGTAAGAAACTCATTAAGTATATGTTAAAAGCTCCTTTTTTTAAAATTTGACATTCCAGTAAACTGTTAGGAAAATGTCCTTTTAATTGCTTTTCCTCTAAGTGTCTAGAAGTGGCAGTACATTAAGATTAAAAGCAGAAAGTCCCTTAAATTCCTTTCAAGAAGTCCATCCTGTTAGTGTGACTTCTAGAAAGCCAATGGCTGTTATTACTTTTGGCTGGAAGGATATTGCAAAAGACTTGAAGAAGAAATAGAAACTGTAATGGGAATTTTCTTTCACTCTTACAGTTTACGCTTATTTGTTCCTCTTCTTAGTTTATTAAACATTTTTGCCAAGAGGTCCTGTCTCTAGAAGGAAGTGTTTGACAATGACAGTTAAAAATGCCATGTAGTGAGATACTTTTACCCAAACATCTAAAAAAAGATTTTAAATTTCTACAAAAATGATAATAGCAAACAAATTATAGTGAATAGTAAATAGTAAAATTCTTATAATTATGTGAAGTGCTTTCTCACTCAGATTCCTTCCACACTTATTATTTTATTTCAGTGTGCTATAAGCAAGAAGTAAATTTGTTGTTTTATAGATGAAGACTTAGAGACCTGGGAGGTTGACAGGACTGCCTAAAAAACCCAAGCCACGCTGTGGCTGAATTGAGACTCGAGGCCAGTTGTGTATGTTTATTTTCTGGTGTGACCTGACCTAGCATGTATCTCACACATTGCGTTTTTCTTACATTCTAGGTTTCTCCTCTGCAAGCTTCTCTTGGACCACCACCACCAGCTGAGCAAAGGAAGACTGTGAATCCGCATCTGAGCCCATCCATCCTTTGGATTCCCATGATGAGCTCGCCAGTGCAGCCTGGTCAGTCTGCTTGCTTTTTAAACCATTAACAGACTTTATGTGAAAGATGTTGCTTTGTGTTGCTTCAAACCAAGCAATTTAAATCATAAAGGAACATTATTTTCTGATGAAGATTGGTTGATATAACAATACATTTTGAATTTTGCATTCTATAGCTAATCCTCTCTTACTTAACCCAGTTTGTCTCCTGGGCAAGTAATTTTCTTTGCATTATTGTCTGAGCATTAGGTTTTAATCCTTCTGCTTCTAATGCAACATTTAGATTAAATTTTATGATGTTATGAATATTAAATGTGATATAGGAATCTAATTTGCACCCGTAATCTTTCTGACCTAATACATGTCTATGTGGTTTTAAATTATACTGTGGGGTTTGGAAGTCAGCTTGTGGACTGACTTCGCCTCCGTCTCTGACACACAGGAAGGATATTTTTCCTCCCCACCCTTCTTTGCTGACACTTCTGTTTCCTACATACATATGTAATTATAATCTCAGCACCTGCTTCCTCCAAGTCCAGAGTGATATGTGTGGCCCATGTAGCGCTGTGATCAGCAAGCCAACACCCATTCCTTCAGGAACAGGGTGTCACTTTGGGAACAAACACAATCCAAGTTCTGAGAATGATGGAGTAGGGTCAGATACCACATTTTAATGACACACACAGTTTAAAAGGTTTTTCTGTGTGGATCATTCTAGGGGTATTTATTTCTATTTATTTTTCAGCATATTGATATCTTTGAGTTAGTTAACTCTTTAGGTTGAAACTTATGTAATATTATATTCAGGGTTTATAAGGGGAAAACTTTTGCCAGGATTTTCACTCTCTGGAGTGCCACACCCAATTAGCTGCTCAGGAATTCCACTGTCTCATCAGCTTTTCTCCACATCCCCAACAGGCTGCCAACTTGTATGTTGAATTTGGAACTGGAATCCATTGAAAAGTATAACTGCAATTGTTGATTCTAAATGATGTAGTAAAAAAATCCCATAGTCTTTAGTCACAACCATGATGTATAATTGGCATTGTGTCATGTAGTGTAGGCCTCTTATCTCTGAGTCCCTACAGCCAAGTTATTCTCAAACTTATGCATGCATTAACATCACTTGGAGAGTTTATTTTAAAAAGTCCCATACCCGTAGTTTTTGATTTAGTAGATCTGGAGTGGGGCCCAGGAACTGTGATTTTTACAGTTCTCCAGGTGATGCTATTGTTGCCTTGGGGAACACACTTGGGGAACTACAGGTCTAGCTCCTATACCATTTCTCACCCATCCTCCCCATCCCCCCACAGATAGCCCTGCTGATGTGTGTTCTATGAGCTGCATTGCTCGTTATAGTTATAGTATAGTATTATTATCCTTTCTGTTGAGATGAACTTTAATGTTTGCATTTTTATTTATTGCATTTTAAACATTATATATTTGTATATTAATTGATATTTCAAAATGGCATAATTTAAGAGACAATTAATTTAGAGCCACCATGGGCAAATATTTTTTTCTTATGGTAATATTTAGCAATGGAAGTTGACATACCCTCCCCCCCAGGAATATTGGTTTTATAATATGAAAATATCCTTTGAGGCTGCTAGTTTGATGAGGAAATTCTTGTCAGCCATGATAATTGTTTAGTTAGGAAAGGGGAAAAAGTGGGGGATAAATGAGATGACCATTGAGTAAAGCCCATTTGACTTTAGGGCCAATAAAATTTCCTTGTGTACTTCTCTGTTAAGAACAACATTATACAGAGGTCTCAGTCAACTCTGGGAGGTTCTCATGAATGAAATCTGAAGTTGAGGAAGGTCACAGAAAATGGGACACGTGGGTGGGAGTCTTATTTATTGCGCGTAACAAACTATAATCAAAGACTTGAAACGCACCTTGCATGTATAAAGGAAAAATGATCTTGTTGCAAACATAAAAATAGTCTTCTGTTGTTATTAGCCTGTATCTTATGGTGCCATATATATTCTACTGGTGAGAAATAACCTGATTGTTTGACTTAGAAAAGGTCTAAGGATTTTCTTACATCTTTTTTTTTTTTTTTTTTTTACTATCTAAAAAGAAAATTAAATTGGTCTTATGCAATCACCCTCCATATATTTTGCTTTTGAGTATTTATATTTGTCTTGAAAATTAGTTCTGGGCTAGTGTGAATTCTTGTTTTCCTCGTGCATTGACACCATTCGCAGAAAAGTTCCCCATCCATATTCAAATACAGTTGATATCAAGTACAAACTATTACTGTCTTGATCATGTATTCAGTCACACAAGTGCTGATTTTTGTATATAGAATTCACTTGTTTTTATTTTAATCTTGTTGCCCCAGTAATGTTAGAACATTATTGGGTATTGCTTTTAGGCACTGAGGAGCCTGAATGGTGGGAAGACTATCTGGATAAGTTTGGCAGCTAGCTGCTGCAATTAAGCTATTAATTAATTCAAAACTTACTAATCATCTATTTTGTGCCAGGCAATATGCTACCCAGTAGGGACACAAAAAGTATGAAAACATGGTTTCTACCCTCATGGACAACACCCTTTAGTGGGAGAGAGGGAAATGTTAATAATTTTGATCCGTTCAGTGTATTAAGTATTTTAGTAAATATAGGACCAGAAATTAATTTCTTTTGTATAGCAGTATGGATGCTATTTATAGTAACAAAATTTTTACCAGGAGTACTAAATAACGGAACGCATAGTGCTCTTCACTGTGACTTGCCAAAGTGCAGCAATGCTCTCAGTCTGTCAGCACTAGTGTTTCTCATTTTGAGACTTTATAAAAACATAAAATGCATCATAAAATCATATCTCAATGTAAGTATCTCTCCCATGAGCTAAGATATGATAATTGTTATCTTGCTCTCTGATGATAAATTTTTAAAAAGCTAATGCTGTTGAAACCTAAAGGAGGTAATGATTTGTGGAGAGAATTCTTAGTGGCTTACATGTATTCTCTGCTATCTAGGCAATCCCATTTTTATGGGGAGGTGGACCAAAGAGGTTCATATAGAGTGCATTTTTTTTTCCTGCAAAGAAGTTTGAGCCTATTTCAACCCAGGGCAGATTTTCAGAATGATCCCAAGATTCTAGAAAACGTGATTTAAGCCTGGATGTTTTTAACGAGTAAAAAATTTGGGCAACATCAACCCTAAAACAATTCCAGTGTGACTTTTAATTTTGGTGGATCTAATATTTATGATGTTATTTTGATGAAAATGCATCAAAGGGAATTTTCTAAGCATAGAACACAGTGTGCATGATGCCCCCTAGAATTGTGCAGTGCCTGTGGGCTCCTAGGTAAGTTTGGAGGGTAGAGTGACCATAGCTGTGTTGCAAAGCCCTATAACATTAGTTTTCAAAGCCCACGGTATAAAGGTAGCTTGTTTCCCTTTTCTTCGACATTGTGGGAACATTTGTAACAACTTCTTACCTATATGGAGTGAAAGGACCAGGCTATTTTTATAAGCTAAAAGTTTTTGTAACAAGATACTATATTCTCTTCATTTTCTCACTGGCACATCTTGGGCAAAAATTGGTTAAGAGATTTCCCTTCATGCCTCTGTTTTGCTAAACAGCTGAATTCCCTTATAGAAATGTAGAGTAGGTTTAACTAATGATCAAAAAGTTCTTTGAAATATAAATTGTTTTGGAAATGCTAAGCAGTATAAACAATTTGAGGGCAAGCATTAATAAAAGCTTCACTGCAAGCATTTTAAAAGAGGACTAATAAAAGCTTCACGGTTCAATTAATACAGCACAACATCGGGTTTTCTAGAAGCATATGGGACCCAGAAGACTTGCCCCTGTTTTTAAAATTTACGAACTCTTTAATGATTCACCACTTTTACTTCAGTGTATTACCCACTGTAGTGCCATTTAGTCATTAAGTAGGAAACTAAAACCAGGACAAAGCTACAAACAAATATCATAATGTCCAAGTGGGTATTTTTTCTTCCGTTTGTTCACAGAATGTTACCATAAAAAATGAATGTTAAATTAAATGGAGTCATAGGACAAATCAAGTAGGTTATGACTTCCTGACGTGGGTATAATCAGTTGGCTTTTTAATGAAATACAGGTCATATACCATTACAAGAAGCTCTGTATAATAAAATATTTTCAGGCTCTGGGCCAATTATCTATTTCAAGTAGTATTCAGGAAAAATATTCCAAGATAATAAAATAAATTAGTCCCTTGAAGTTTGTTGTAACAGAATTTGGTCACAGGGTACATTAATAATGGAAGCATTGCATGTTAAATTTATTAAATATTGTTTTGGATTTTTTTTTTTTTACTGCTTTAACTCCACAGTTAAGTGATTCGTTCTTTTGCTATTTCTAAGTCTAAACTTCTCAATCTGAAAATCAAGTTTGAAACATAAACAGAGAAAGCGTATTATTCACTCTCCAATTCCTGAGGGACAGTGCTTTAATAGTGAACCCTTCTCCCAAAGTTTTTGGTTTAAGTTTATTTTGCACATTTATTTGTTCTCACATTTGCTTTCCATAATTAATTTTGGTGGCTCATTCTTGGTGGGTATATTTCTTGTTATTTTTATGATCGTAACATTACACACCAATGCCATAATGTAGTTCAAACAGAAAAGAAGGTTATTTTTTGCTCATTGAAGACTGGAAGGGAATTCCTGAGTGGTGGGTTGTTTTTCTCTCTCGACTATCCAGTGCCTTAGACAGCTTCCAACGTGTGGCTTATACTTCTTCAACTCATGGATTCTAAGGTCAGTGTGCATTTCTACATCAAGCTGATGGAAGGGAAATGGGAGAAGTGGATTGTGTGTAGGAAGTTTCCATGGGCACATCACTCCTGTTCACATTTCTTTGGGTAGAGTTTGGTCACATGGCCACACCTAACTACAAAGCAGGCTGGAAAATGTAGCCTAGCAGTACCCCAGGAAGAGGAGGAAAGAAGTTTGGTGAACAGCTTCCATATTTGTCTTGAACACTTATACCTAGGAGTTCAAACATGGTATTGCTTA